AAAGTGAGGAAGAACTGAAGAGCCTCTTGATGGAAATGAAAGAGGAGAGTGAAAAACCTGGTTTAAGTCTCAATATTCAAAAAACTAATATCATGGCATCTTGTCCCATCACTTCATGGCAAATAGATGGGGAAACAGTGGAAACAGTGACAGACTTTATTTTGGGGGGGCTCCAAAATCACTGCAGATAGTGACTGCAGCCATGAAATTAAAAGATGCTTGCTCTTTGGAAGAAAAGCTATGACAACCTAGGCAGTATATTAAGTAGCAGAGACATTTCTTTGCCAACAGAGTTCTATGTAGTCAAAGCTATGATTTTTCCAGTATTAATGTATGGATGTGAGAGTTGGACCATAAAGAAAGCTAAGCAACAAAGAATTGATGATTTTGAACTGTGGTGTTGGAGAAGACTATTGAGAGTCCCTTGGACTGCAAGGAATGCAACCAGTCAATCCTAAAGGAAATCAGTCCTGAATATTCATTGCAAGGACTGATGGTGAAGCTGAAACTTTGGCCACCTGATGCAAAGAATTGACTCAGTGGAAAGATCCTGATGCTGGGAATGATTGAAGGCAGGAAGAGAAGGGGACAACAGAGGATGAGATGGTTGGATGTCATCACTGACTCAATGGACATGAGTTTGAGCAAGCTCCAGGAGTTGGTGATGGACAGCAAAGCCTGGCTTGCTGCAATCCATGAGGTCCCAAAGAGTAGGACACGACTGAGTGACTGAAATGACAGATATTTTCTTGTTAGAGTTCTATTGCTTAATCTCTTACATTTAGGACTTTGATCCGTTTTGAGTTCATTTATGTTTATCACCTGAGATAGGAGTCCAAATTCATTATTTTGCATGTGACTATCTAATTGTTCTAGTGAAATTTGTTAAAGAGACTAAGATTGCCCCCATGGAGTTGTCTTGACATCATTGTCAAAAGTCAGTTGGCTACAAATATACGTCCTATTCATTTAAAAAACTAAAATATTTCACCTGGTTATTCATCTATAGCCTTTATAAGAAATAGTAAACATTAAAATTGTATTTAATTCTATGGATCTTTATGCTATTAATGTTAATATATATAATGCATATATATATATATCTATAGATATATCTATAGATATATATAATGTTAATAATATAGCAGCAGTAGCAGCAATGATATCAGTAATAGTAGCAGTAACCATATATTGGGTATAATCATTTAGCCAATTAAAAGTTCACCAAACTGCCCTGTCAGTCAATCTTTATTTATCTATGTAGATCAAGAGACAAAAAAGTTTTTGTTTGTGCCCTACCATTGGCCAGTTAATCATTTGTCTCCTTTCGCCCAATGCATAAGGCCAGTTTCATTGCATAAAAGTAGCACCGTTGATCCACCGGAAATGTTTGTGTTCCAGGTGTTCCTATGATGGTTGTCCTGATTACCACTTCGTTTTCTAAATTTTCATACACCAGTTTTTGCATAGTCTATCCCAGAATCTTGCTTCAAGTCAAAATTAAGGTGTTTTATCCCTCATTTTCAATATGTGCTCATTTCTCTTTTTGGAAAAATTAGGAATTTTCCTATTATCTACCCTTCATAATTTCTCCCACTCTTCATAATCATTAGTTAATGGTTGCACTTGAAATTCAGCATGGCAAAAAGAATTTTGAAAGCATCAGTGAAGTATTTGTGACATGCTTAGTAAAGTTTGCTTGCAGGCAGAAAAATTCTCTTATTTTAGGATGTCTTTTGCTCTGGGTTACCCTGAGTAAAATTTCTAGATCATGACAAATTTACAGGCCCCTAAGAGAATGGAACTGCTACTCACATGAGCTCTGTGATTCTCTAAGGAAAGTCTAAAGACACAAAAGAGATAACTCACTAGGTGACCTTGAGTAAATTATTTCCACCTCTCTAGACTTTGCTTTCCCTGCCTTAAAAATGAGGGGATAAGTTAAAGAAATTGTGAAGGTCTTTTCAGTTCGGAGACTGGATTTGTCTATATAGTTACCTACAGGACTCCAGAAGAGCTTGAAGACGGAGAGATACTTATATAAGAGGTAAAGAAAAGTTACCAATTCCTTTCCCAAGGGGGAAAAAAAAGAATCTTGCCTTTTCCCTCACACTCTCTCCACTATCAAGGCATTTTTGTAGGGGCTGTGCTGGGTCTTTGTTGCTATTCATGGGCTTCCTCTAGTTGCAGCAAGTGGGTTGCAGCAACTCTCTAGTTGTGGTGCAAGGGACTTTCATTATGATGCCTTCTCTTGTTGTGGAGCATGGGCTCTAGGCCATGCAGGCTTCAGTAGTTGTGGCACATGGGCTTAGTTGTCCTGCAGCATGTGGGATTCTCCCGGACCAGGGATTGAATGGATGTTCGCTGTATTGGCAGGTGGATTCTTAACCACTGGACCACGATGTAAGTCCACCAATGTATTCTTGACCCCAAAATAAACATACACGTACAAGTATTAGAGGAAGGCAGGCTCGCAGGAACATGGAAGGCTCTAACCTCTGGGCTATTTCTGTTCCGTGGCTCCCAGGGTCCTAGAACAGAAAATCTCTCAGGAGAAAAGGTAGACAGGGCTGTACAGTGCAGTGCCTGTTTCTCCTCCCCTTCAAGGAGAGATGACATTCCTTACTAGCAGGATGGAGGTTGGGTACAGGGGTGCATTAGAGAGCACAAATCCTATATGGAATATTTAAAACAAATCCAAGAAAGGCAATTATAAAGCAATGTCTAGTGGTTCTGTGGGGCTTCCCTGGTAGCTCAGCTGGTAAAGAATCTGTCTGCAATGCAGGAGACTCCAGTTCAATTCCTGCATTGGAAAGATCTGCTGGAGAAGGGATAGGCCACACACTCCAGTATTCTTGGGCTTCCCTGGTGGCTCAGATGATGAAGAATCAGCCAACAATGAGGGAGACCTGGGTTTGATCCCTGGGTTGGCAAGATCCCTTGGAGGAGGGCATGAAAACCCACTTCAGTACTCTTGCCTGGAGAATCTCCATGGACAAATGAGCCTGGTGGGCTACAGTCCGTGGGGTTGCAAAGAGTCAGACACAACTGAGTGACTAAGCACAGCATTGGTTCCAGAGTGGCCAAGCACTAACAAGAAAACAGACTGGCATCAGCTTGATGGCCCAAAATAACATTTCTGCATGGGATGGAACAGCAACAAGTCAGAAGTGTGTCCTGTGGAGAAGATTCAGTCTCCCAGCAGCTAAGAGGTTGGGGACTAAGACATCCTGGAAATTAGCAGAGGACAGGATAAAGAGGGAGTTGGTGGAGGTATGTAAAGAACAAAGTATTTGAGAACAATGCAGGATGACAAGTAGACAATAGTGGGAAGGGAAAGAAAACTCATTCTGGTTATATTCCATATATCTGATTTTATACTAGGTATTTTGTGGGTATTGTTTCCTCTATCATTCACAACATATTCAGAAGTAATTATAAGACCCCTGTTACTAATATAGAAGCTGAAGAACAAGCTGTGAAATGACTTGACCAAGGTCAGACAAATATGTGTGAAGTTAGGTTTCAAAGTCAAATGTACCTGCCTCCGAAAAGCTCCTTTCACACGTGAACTTGCTCCTTATCCTTTTAAAACCATAGTCACTTGCTTCCACACTGACTCTCCATCTCTCTTTCGCTGATTGATTCATTTTTTTGTTTCATTCATCAATGTAGCAAGCATTTCTTGAGATCCTGTTACTTAGGGGGTATATTCCAGGCACTGTGAACAGTAATAGGTCTTTCATCTAGTCCTAGCCCATGAGGAGCTCCCAGCTAGTGGAGGATTCCAAAGGTAAGTAAAAGAACTTTAATATGACATAGTCTGTGCTACAGTAAGAGGATTTAAGAGAAAATATATTGATATGGGCTCCTCCAGAGAAGTTGATGAGTATACAGAGTCTTCTGGAATTGAAAAGTTCACCAGTTGAAAAAGGGGCAAGAGCACAGAAAATATTACTGTAGTGTGAAAGAATGTAGTGCATTCATGGGCAATGAAATTGTTTGATAGGCTTAGAGCAAGAAGATGGGGAAGTAGGGGATGAGGCTGCAGAAATAAACCTTGGTCCAGATTATGGGAGGTTTAAGTACAATTCTTTTATTTAGTCAATAAATATTCATTAAATACTTACTATGCATTAGGTTGAAACAAAGCAAGACACTACGGGGCCTTTCCAGATGTAAGCTTCTCTGAGTTCCCTGCTTAACTTTACTCTCACAGGGCTTCTCTGAGCTCCAATTAGAAATTTCAATTAGTTAACAATTACAGAAGTGAGAAAATGCAGAAACTAAGGAAAACAGTTAAGCAAGACAAAATAATAACAGTTTAGTCATAAAAAAATGAAGAGCCCTTAGTTCCTCCTCAAGGACTATAGATAATATCCTGTGCATATCTTTGAATAATTACATAGAAACTATGCCCCTCCCACACTGGGTGGATTTAATTGACTGCATACTGATTACAAACACATAGATCACAGGCTGGTGAGAGCAAGAAAATTGATAATTGAGATTCTCACAACATTACCCTATTACATCACCACCAATCAATCAGAAGGGTGTCCACAAACTTATCATCAACCAGTGACTTTCACCCCTGATGTTGCCTTTAAAAACTTCTGCATGTAAGCCAAGGGGGAGTTCAAGCTTTTTGAGCATTAGCTGCTTATTCTCCTTGCTTGCTGCTGCTGCCTCTAAGTCGCTTCAGTCGTGTCTGACTCTGTGTGACCCCATAGATGGCAGCCCACCAGGCTCCTCTGTCCATGGGATTCTCTAGGCAAAAATATAGGAGCGGGTTGCCATTTCCTTCTCCATCTCCTTGTTTGGTACCCTGTAGATAAACTCTAGACTATCCTTGACCTCAACCCAATGTCAGTACATTGGCTTTGCTGCATGTGAGACAAGTGAACCCAAGTTCAGTTTGTTAAAAATGTGGGTGACCAGCCTGCCCGGCTTCTCTGGGCAGGTGACCACAACCTCTGCTACCCCGTTTTAGGATAAAGGAGGAGTGGAACTTCGTGGCCGAGTGCCGGAGGAAAGGCATTCCCCAGGCCGAGTACTGCAAGAACGGCTTCGTAGACACCAGCGTGAGGCTGCTGGAACGATTGAAAGGCGCTCTCTCGCTGTGCAGAGAGCGCTTTCCAAGGAGAGAGACAAACGGAGCAGTGAGTTTGTGTTTGAACTTTCCGGCGATCACTGGAAGGGAGTTCCCAGATTTTTTGAAGGAGCAGACGCATCTGAAAGAATGGCACATGAGCAATACTCTGATTCAAATCATTCCTAAGTATATAGAACTGTTTCAAGCCATGAGGATTCTGGATCTGCCAAAAAACCAGATCTCCCGTCTTCCAGCTGAAATCAGTTGTTTGAAGAACCTCAAGGAACTCAACATGAGTTTCAACCGTCCGAAGAGCATTCCTCCAGAACTGGGAGACTGTGAAAATCTAGAGAAACTGGATTGTTCTGGAAATCTAGAATTAACCGAGCTCCCTTTTGAATTAAGTAAGTAATTTGAAGCAAGTTTCATTCGTAGATATCTCAGCAAACAAGTTCGCCAGTGTCCCGATCTGTGTCCTGCGGATGTCTAATTTGCAGTGGTTGGATATCAACAACAATAACCTGAATGACCTGCCACAAGACATAGACAGGCTAGAAGGACTGCAGACCTTTCTTCTATACAAGAACAAGCTCACCTACCTTCCCTATGCCTTGCTTAACCTAAAGAAGCTCACCTTGTTAGTCGGCAGCCGGGACCACTTGGTGGAGCTCCCAACAGCCCTCTGTGACTCCTCCACACCTTTAAAGTGAGTAGACGGCCCAGTAGAGACCCATTCAGACCCAAGATTTGTAAGTCTTAAGGACAATCCTCTTGAGAACATCCAGTGTCAAGATGGTGATGAAATGATGGAGAGTGAACGAGATCACCAACAATTTGATAAAGAATTAATGAAAGCCTATATTGAAGATCTTAAAGAAAGAGATTCTGTTCCCAGCTATACCACTAAAGTATCTTTCAGCCTTCAGCTTTGATGCCATCCATCAGAAGACTACAGAATCTTCCTGACCTGTGGAGCTATAAATCTTCCTGTTGTGGGTTGTTATAGAGGAATAATGGCTTGGGCTTAATGGCAAAGTCTAGAAACCACTGTCATAGTTGTTAGGAAAAATGATTTTCAAATTTCAAATATGTGAATGTCTCTCTCTGTGGACTGGAGAATCGATAAATGGGTTTATATATTGATATTTAAAGGTTCATTTGCATTTACTTGTTTCCAAATAATACACATTTAATGTTTTAGAAAATGTGTTATTTTTAAAAATATCACTTAAAAGACCAAATTTTGAAGTTGACTGCATTGTTTTCAGAGATCCAGGGATAAAGAGGTGTTGAAAAGAGTATTTATATTGAACTAATCAGATGAGAGTTAATTTTGTTATTTTGAAAGCATCATTTCTTTTACCAAGGATGGTTTTCCTTGGGTTTATACAAATTGCTATTTTCATATGTTTTAAGTTGTATTTTACCAAGCTTAGGCTTTCAGGAAAGACTTTAGGTATAATCTGGGCCTTGAAGGTAGAAGGATGGGCTGGATTGTCTGCCCAGGCATTGGATTCAGATGGTGCCCTGGTGGCTCTAGTGGAGAATGTGTGGGCCTGGCTGATCATGGGAAGTCTGGTGGGGCCTACATGGATGGTCAGCCTGCCACAAGTGGGCCTCCTGGGGGTCCCAGGATGCATGCCAGAGCACAGAGCAGAGGCATTGCCTCTAGGGACCCATCCTCCAAGATGGTCATATAAGGTAGCAGGAATGACTAGTCCACACTGATGAGGAGTCCCTCGAAAGGCTTCCCTGCAGGTGCCTCAGGAAGGCTTTGCTCACGGGTGAGCCACTGTGGTCCAGAGAGAGCAGAGGAGACTGAGTTTCCATTGGCAAAGAAGGAGTTCATTAGAGGGCTTTGAACTTTGGTATCACATTATAGGATTTGGAGAAATTATACAAATATCTATTTTTATGCTATTATCTTGGGCTAAAATAAACAAGATTGTGAATATGTTGAAGATACGTTTAAACAAGTAACTTTTGTGACTAAGATGGAAAAATTGCATATACTCATATATGTTTATATCAATCCACTCCTCTGTGGTCTAGCCGAGCGCTGTCCAATAGAACTTTCTGCTGTGAAGGAAGTGCTCTGCATCTGTGCTGTCTAATTTAATAACTGACAGATGTATGTGCTTCTTGAGCTCTTGAACAATGTCTGGTGTGACTGAAGAAGAAATTTTTAATTGCTTTTAAATTGAAATAGTCAAAGGTAACTACCATGTTGGACAGCACAAGTCAAGTCAGTTGGGTTTTTCAGAAGTTAATCGGGACTAGAAGTGAGCAATTTTTATTTCTTTATCTGAAGAACCAAAGTGGTTAATACTGACACTCAATATTTTGTCTTCATGGGTTTAATAATGCTTCTAAATATTTTATCCTCAACAGATATAAAGCAGTCAGAACAGTCTAAAGCCATACAGTAATGGTTCCATAGAGCATTGCTTCAACTTAAAGGCAAACTCTGAGAGGTAGGTTAAGAGATGAAAAGAGTAGGAGAATCTCTTTTCTCAATTAAATGAGAAGTCACTTGAATTGAACCTAAAACAGTTGTGTTTTTATTTATAGCACTTTAAAAATATAATGCAAATTTATCAGTTGTACTATGTGAATGACTTTGGGATTTTATTTCACGCCACAGTATATGTTACATAACAGCCAAATGGAAAATATATCTCAAAGGGGGGGAAATGAGGGCTTTCACATAAGTAGACTGTCCATAACTCACGTAAAATTTATTTCAATAAAACCAGTCTTGTGCAAAAAAAAAAAAAAAAAAACCCTTATATCGATGTTACATAAAAAATAACTGAAAAAGATTAGAATACAGTGATATGTAATTATTTCATATTACATAACATCCCATAATGTTTATTATGTTTAATAACACAACTAAAGAAATATAGACTAAATATGAGGCTTGTAGAAATAGTCTTTACTCATATAAATGTAAAAATACAGAAAGATTCTAAAGTAGAGTAAGCATCTTAGTGGAAATAAGAGAGATCTGAACATTTTACATGATGCATATGGATTGGCTCATAATTTGGAAAAGTAATTTACATAGACTATAGGTATGAATATTAAAGCAATATGAATGAAAGAAAATACAATTCTTGGGAGAAAAATGTTCTGGTTCCAAAAGCTTATTATGATGCCCATAAATCCATGGCTAATTCATTTCAATGTATGACAAAAACCACTGCAATGATGTAAAGTAATTAGCCTCCAACTAATAAAAATAAATGAAAAAAAATAAATAAAAATAAAATGTATTCAATCTAAAAAAAAAAAAAAAAGAAAGTAAAGGGGTAAAGACACTTGGTGAAAAAAAAATGTGGGTGACCATAAAAGTAGCAGTGTTCTGAGTGAGAATCTTGCCATAGCACATCAGCCTCTGGCTGGCGGAGGCTCTCTGATTCTGTACAGCAGCTGCCTGAGCACCTTTGCCTCAGGGATAGCCTTGAACACATGCCTCACACTGGGCATCACTGGCTTACAACCCTTTAGAGTGTGTGTTAAAGGAAACAAAGGGAAAACGAGATAGCAGAGGAGTAGATGGACACGGAGTACATCTCTCTCTAACGATACATCAAGAATACAACTTCAGACACAGAAGTGCTTGCAGAACACCAGCTGAGAGCAGGCAGGAGTACCTGACCACCAGAAAAAAATATACAGAATCACACAAAACTCGGTAGGATGAAAGAAGTAAGGAGAAAAATAAGAGAGTTAATAGGACTGGACCTGTCCTTGGAAGGTGGGGTAACGGAAGCAGGGGTCTGATCCCCACATTGGGGCAATTGTTTGAACAGAGGAGAAACATTTGAGGCAGAGAGTGAGGCAGCTGATCTGTGATAGTCTCAATGGGATGAGACTCACACAGACAATCCTTACTGCAGCCATACATACCCCAGACAGAGATGGGGGTCCCCAAGAAGGCACAGAGACTGGGAGCTGGAGTGTAGGGATTATGGAGCAATCACAGGGTGAGGTCTGCTGTTAACTGCAAGGAAACAGCCCAAGGTGCCAAGGGGGAGGAGTTTGTGGTGGAAACTGCCTGTGGAGGAAAACAAGGCAGCCATGGAGGCAAGGCGATACCGCTGAGTCATGCATAGGGGTTGGAGCCATCACCATAGCCTCTCTCTCCCCACACACCAGTGCTAGCAGCTGAGCAATTGACAGGCTGGCCTTTAAAGCTCCTGAAACACCAAACAACAGAGAAGAAACCCAGCCAGGTGAGCCCTTTTAGTGCCTTATGCACCTGAACGCCAGAGTAGAACCCCAGCCGAGAGGGCACCTTTATGTGTCTGATGCACTGAACAACAGAGAAGGACCCCATCCAGGGGAGCCCTCTGTACCTAAATGGGCAAAGCAACAGAGAAAGACTAACCGGAGGCTAGGAAAAGACTCCTATAGGGCCATAGCTCCTGTAGTTGAGGCAGTCCGTGTCCCTGCACACTTGGCACTGCCAGGGTTCCCAAGAATCAAACAGCTATGCCACTTGCCTGTTCAAGGCATGAGCATGAGAATGTGGCAGAGCTGCCTCAGGCTAGAAAAAGTCCTAATACCACCATATCTCCTGTGACAATAGCCCCATATCTCCTGTGATGTAGCTGGCATGGCCAGGGTCCCCATGGTCCAAGCAACTGCACCACCTCCAGGCATGATCCCCACTGGGACAGAGATGTCAGAGGCTAGAGAAAGCCCTGCATCTGTGCATATGGGGTCACTTTGGTCATGTCCAACTCTGCGAACCTGTGGACTGTGGCCTGCCAAGCTTCTCTGTCTGGGGGATTCTCCAGGCAAGACTACTGGATGGGGATGCCTTACCCTTCTAGAGCACCATATATCTGCTGCCCTAGTTGCCAGCTCCCCTGAGTACGTGGTGTTCCCAGGGCCCCTGCGACCCAAGCAGCTGTGCTACCCCCATACATGGACTTCACTAGGGCAGACACAAGTCCTCCAGGGCAGCCTCAGGGGCAAACGCCTGTGGACGATCCATATGCAGAGGTGGAGATAAAACCACAGTTGAAACTCAGGGGCAGAGTGGCTAAAGAAGAGGACCCAAAACCTTCCTAGAAGCTGCAGATCAAATCCACCTGATCAACTAGGCAGACTCCATGTCCATGGAACATATAAAAGGACAGTGAGAGCTCCCACAAAAGAAAACACAGTACTTCTGAGAGCTGTGGACATTGGAGGCAAGAATACACAGGAGCAGGACCAGATTAGAGTCTGAGCTGCCCCCACAGCAGGTCCAGAGACCATCCCAGTGATAGAGGGCATCCTAGGGAGGCAAGGTAGACTGACTCCCAGCGAGGGAAAGTACACTGACAGCAGAGACTCAAGAAAAAAAATTTACTATTATTATATATTTTGACTTGATTTGTAGTTGCTTCTGGTTTT